GGGAACGGCAAACACGTCCACAGTGGGAGCAGGGAAACTGGCCTGGAGGTTTGGGTGTCTCTGCTGCTGCCTTCCTTTTAGCGCGAGCCTCAGTGACGTTGGCTCGCCGGTGTGCTTCGAAGGCTTTTGTTGCTTCGCGCGTCAATGCACGCCATCCAGTGCGATCCTGTGCACACCCCTCAAGCTGTTTTGTTGCGATGCCAGTGTAGGCGATGTTGGCCTTGATGCAGTCTTTAAAGCCCTTCAGTGGCCTGCCTTGCTTTCTCTTTCCCTTACTGAGCACTCCGTAGAGGAGTTGCTTTGGGATTCTGTCACTGTCCATTCGGATGGTATGCCCCGTCCATCTGAGCTGGGCTTTGAGAATCATAGCCTCAATTCTGGTTGTTTATGCACGGTCCAAGACCTCAAGGTTTGTGATCATGTCCTGCCATTTCATGCCCAAGATTGAGCGCAAGCTCCGCATGTGGAAGCTCTCCAGCAGTTTGATGTGTCTTCTGTATAGGGTCCAGGTCTCACAACCATAGAGGAGATTGGTGATAACAACTGTCTTGTAGACCCTGAGCTTGGTAGACTGCTGGATGTTGTGTTGGTTCAGCACACGAGCTCGCAGTCTGCCCAGGGCTTGGCTTGCCTTGCCTTACAGATCCTGGCGCTATTCTCCTTGTTAAGGGAGCCGTCGCTGGAAATGACACTGCCGAGGTATTTGAATTTCTGTACAGTCCTCAGTTCCGTTCCCTCGAGAGAGATAGATGGGCGGTGGTCTGTTGCGAGAAGACTGGGCTGGAACAGCACTTATGTTTTTCCCAGGCTAATGGTGAGGCCAAACAGGCGGGATGCTTCAGCAAACTTGTCGACAGTGAGTTGGAGGGTGGATTTTGTATGAGCCCTGAGGGCACAGTCGTCGGCAAAGAGGGCCTCTAGGATCAGTTTCTCAATTGTCTTGGTTTTAGCATTGAGGCGTCGAAGGTCAAAGAGAGATCCGTCCAGTTTGTACCTTATGTATACTCCGTCCTCGATGTCTTTGACAGCGTAGCTGAGAACGCAGGCGAAGAGGAGGTTAAACAGTACTGGGGCAAGGACACATTCCTGTTTCACACCGTTGGTAATCTCAAAGGGTTCAGACGCCTCACCTCCAAAAAACACTAGACCCGTCATGCTGTCATGAAATAGACGAATCAGGGTTACAAACGTCCTGGGGCAACCAAGTTTTTGAAGAACTGTCCACAGTGCAGCTCTGTTGACAGTGTCAAACGCCTTGGTCAGGTCAACAAATACTGCATACAGATCCATATTCTGTTCCCTGCACTTCTCCTGTACTTTCCGGACCACAAAGATCATGTCAGTTGTGCTGCGGCCTGGACGGAATCCACACTGGGCTTCTGGTAGGTTGTGCTCAGAGATGTTGAAGATCAGGCGATTCAGGATGATGCGCGCCAGGATCTTACCAGCAATAGACAGGAGTGATATGCCCCGGTAGTTGCCACAGTCAGATTTGCTGCCCTTGTTTTTGTACAGGGAGATGATTGTGGCGTCTCTGAACTCCTGGGGAATGTCCTCTTCCTCCCATATGCTGCAGAGGAGGCTGTGGAAGGCGTTAAGGGTTACTGGTCCTGCAGCCTTGTAGATTTCTGCAGGGATCCCATCCTTGCCAGGGGCTTTTCCTGAGCTGGTCTGCTTGATGGCCTTCTGGACCTCCTCCATGCTGGGAGGGAGGTCGAGGCTGTCTATTGTGGGTCTCTGGGGGATCTGGTCCAATGCTTCATTGCTAACAGTAGAGGATCTGTTGAGAAGGATGCTGAAGTATTCCCTCCATCTTTCGTTGATGGCGTTCTTCTCCTTCAGTAGAGTACCATTTGTTGATAGGAGAGGGGTTGTGTTAGGCCGGGACGGTCCGTACACTGCCTTGATGGTGCTGAAGAACATCTTCGAGTTTTTCATATCAGCCCATAGTTGGACTTCTTGGGCCTTGTTCTTCCACCATTCATCCTGCATGTGGCGTAGGGTGGTCTGGGCTCGGTACTGAAGGTGTTTGAAGTGATCACGCTTAGAGATGGAGGAAAGATCATTCTGCCAAGCCACAAATGCCTTCTGCTTCTCGTCTAAGAGCTGGGTGATGGCTTGATTATTCTTATCGAACCAATCCTGGTGCACTCTCTTCTTTGGACCAAGTATCGACTGAGCTGCCTCCTTCACCATCGAGCTAAACTGGTCCCATTGTTGTGTAGGGCTTCCAGTGAGTGGTCCGTGGGAGGTCATCTGGTCGTCCAGGCTGTTCACAAAGTGGTCTCGGTGGTCTGAATGGTTGAGTTTGGCGATGTTGAATGACGGCCGGTTGAGCTTGGGCTTCTTCTGACGAGTGGGGGCGATTTATAGCTTGACGACAGATCTGACGAGTCGATGGTCAGTCCAACATTCTGCTCCTCGCATGACGTCGATAAACGTGTGTCTGGTTTATCAAAGTGTCATCACTGACATTTTTTTCACCTAGTGCGACCCTGATAGTTGAAACCAAAAGTTTGCTTTCCGGTTGCGGTTTCAAATTTTCTGTGGTTTTTTTGCCGGCAAAGTTGAAAACTTTGCCCAAGTGCGACCAACGCTATTAAACTACTGTGGTCATAAAGCACAACAGTGTTGAATCTTCTGCCGCATTTAATAATATAGTTGACCCTGCGCTGGTTTGCGGCGACAGTGCAATTCCGGTTTCCAACTTGCCAGGCCCATTGCGCGGCCAGAGTCAAAACAAAGGGTTCGGAGCTCGTTAAATTATTTGCAAAGAATGTCAGCCACCTTTGCCAACGACAATGGATTTATAAAGGCTGATAGTTTCTAAAGAAACTGTTTGGGGCTGCGTCGGTGAGGGTAACGAAATAATTTCAATATATCAATGGATTTAGTTGACTGATTTCCCAAAATTTACCTTAAGTTGGCTTTCTCGCAAAATATGAAGAAGAGTGCCGGCTCGGTTGGGTCCCTGACCCACATCGAACCTAGAATTTTGTTTTCAATCATTCCTGGACAGAACAAGCTTTTGATAAAACTCCTTAGAAACTAAGAGATCTTATTTCCTTTTTCATAGAGGCTCATTACATGCAAAAGTTTTACAAAGGATTTCGCTGCTTGTTATTTCAAAGATCTCGCCATCGCGGGATATGCTGGTAAAAATGAAAGCGGTGCTAACATGTTGAGAAATTATCACATGAACTATTTGATAACCCCTAGGAAGTCAAAAGAGACATGAAATATCCATCGAAATCATGACAGAGGAGAGAATTAAAACCATTGCCAGCGAAATCATCAACCTAGGCTTGGGATTTTCCACATCCATTTGTTTCATTTATGCTAGAGATAAAACTGTACAGAAGAAATATATGACATGTTTAAACCTCTATTGTCTAAAACTTTCGCGCCAGTCTTGAACAAGGAGACTTGTGTTTCCAAGAAGTTGTAACAACTACATTTAGATTTAGACACGTAATTTGTAACGTACCTTAATATAAATTCAAATGTACAACCGTTAAAAGCTCATTTGCAACTAAAGATGACATGAGAATGTCGAAACATGTCTTGTAAATTTAAACCCAAAGTTGTCGTTTCTTTTTTGAGAGACATTTAGATTTGTGTTAATGGCTTTATAAGGAGACAAGTAGGCATTTGCTCTTGTAATGACTTCAGGGGAAATTGTGTATCAGGCTTCGGTTGTTGGAAGGGTAAACAACGCTATCCGGTCTTCTATCCGTTGGATAGCGGTTCATCCGTTGGATTGTGTTATCCACCCTTCGGGCCCAGTTCGATAAGTTGTACTCAAGAACTGTCTGATAATTTTTCTGCCCTATTTTGACCCAGTAAGTTGTTGGATAGCAATCCAATGAACCCGAAAAAGGGGGGGTCACGAAAAATTGAAGGAACACCCACTCCCCTCCTCCAAGACGTTACGCGCATCATAGATTTGGCTTGCAAAATGTTCAGTCGCGTAACTTTTTTTTAACTTTTTTTTTAACTTTTTTTTTCTAATCGTTACAATAAGATCGCATTTGGCGGAACAAAGGTCCATTAATACATTGTCGTAAATCAGTCACGGACGCAGACACTGTCGCGATTGAAAAGAGGTTTCGCTGGTGCCATATGGAAATTGGAGCAGGGGTGTGCGTTTGGCTTGGTTTACGATAAACCACCCACGCTCCGCCGCCTTTCTGACGGGCTTTCCACATGGTCTCAACTGGTAAACACTATATTTGCCCATGAGAACTAATAACCATGGCCGCAAAAATTTACCATGATAAAAGGCCGATATATCTTGAACACAAAGTATTTATATGTTGGGAAAGATAATTTAAAGTTTAAAATAGTATGTTATGCGGTACACCCGTCATTTAATCGGTGATTTTCATCAAGATCAAAAAATTTTTGACTGCACCCCGTGTGAGATTTATCGAGATCAATAGCATAGAACGAAGGCAAAATATTTCTTATCAGCTTTCAATTCTTTTCGAAAGTCCAGTGATCAATCAGAATTTACACAGGCTAAAATGAAAACAATTAAGTCCTAGGAGAAATGTCAATTTTCTTGCAGTTAATCCTAAGGAGCATTTATATTTTATGAATTCGAAACCACTGGTGATAAATAATTTTCACTGGTCCAGTGAAATTGCAAAAATAAGGAAGACACTACAAATCAAGCGAGGAGGGCATGTCATCTCATTTCAGTCCTGATTTTATCGCATGTTTTGTCTAGAATAGCTTGCTTTATCTTATTTTTCCCCAAGGTTAGTAAGTTATTTTAATATTCGATTAATCCGGATTCCTCAACTTACAACCCGAAGATGATGAGAGATGTATCGTAAATCGATTTTCAATGATGATCAACTGACCATAGGCATTCGTATTTCGCCTTCCGCAAACTAAGCCAGTAGACCTTGTTCTCCGGTACTGCGTACGGTCTCTTTCCCTTAACTGCAAAAAAAAAAAAAAAGCAAGGATCGCTAAGTGAAATGTAATAAAGAGTAAGTGTTGATTTACATCAAGTGTTCTCCAGACGAGTGTCTGGGCGTCTGATTTTTGCCGACGCGCGAGATAGGAGCATCCCGTGAAATCCCGCGAGATAAAAATATTTTTTTCTCCGTAATTGCTGAAGCCGGTTTTCATCTTACATTTTATCGTTAAGTAATTACACAATTATTCATATGGAAAAGTCATTATGGAATACACGAAAACCTTTGATATCTGTGGAATGCGCTAAAATTGATTACTTTCTTTCCATAATTGTATGCGCGAACTCGAAATAAATAACAACATCGCAACAATTGAGTTTATTTTCACTACCATGACTTCCTAGAGTTGGCTCACTATCCTCCAATCTAATAATTTCTTTTTCTCGTTGGACAAAAATTTCGTTCAATTCCTATATCGAACGTTAAGGTTAGGATATTACATTTTTCTCAAACAATATCGTTAAAACAATATCCCGCGTGAACAATATGCCGAAATAAACACAACGCAACTTATTTTAGGCTAGTGTCAAAAATTTAATCTTTTCCCGGCCACCACACGGATTGAAAGATGTTGTTTATCGGGAATCTCTTAAGCCACGCATATGAACTATTTGACGAGTTTTAAAATCTAAGATTTTCAAGTGTTTTTGTGTGGGCAGAATTTTTTCGAACCCACGAAAAATTGGTCTTCCTCTGTTGTGAAGTTCTGACAGGTGGCGAGAACACGCCAAGCGCGCGGGGTCTACTGGGATACACGCTGCAAGTTGCTCTCTGAGTTGTGTGTATGTATCTTGTTCTTTTGCGATTGTCGACTGAATTACGGCCAGAAAAGCGATTTACCATCTCTCAAGCTACTGCACTGACACAAAAAGAGCTGCTAATAAGTGCAACACATCCATATCTCGCAAGATGGTGGAGGGAAGCGCGGAAAACAGATTCCATCGCCCGTTTGCGCGCTAACCAGAGGAAGTATTCGCCGGTTACCCCTTACGGCCATGTAATTGTACGTCAAATAGTTCATTCACTTGATCTGGTTTTCTCCGAGATTCAGCGTTACGTTCTGTCGCCAAAATGATGTGCGATATAATGCCTACGATCTCTGAGGACCCGCCAGAGATACAGTATGGGCAAAATGAGGAGACAAACTTCGAGCAACTTATGGTTAATATGCTCGACGAACGGGACAAGCTGATGGAAACTCTTCGCGAAACTCAAGATTCGCTGGCGCTCACAAGAGCAAAGTTGACAGAATGTCAAAAAGAGAAGGATGGTCTGATGAGTCATTTGGAAACTGTGCTAAATGATGTAAGGGAGACTTTTACCTCTATTTTAATCGCTATTTTACCGGTCTGAGGTTAGGCCATTCATTCGTTTGGCTAACTCAAATACGCCATATTTGATCTGTAATTGAGTGTCATTTCAGGTAGCGAGTGTTTACTCACTCAGAGCACACGGGCATTATTCCACACCAAGAAGTGTCTGTGGAGCATTTTAACAAGAAACCCTTTCGATTAGCAACAGCGTTGGTCTAATCTGTAGGTTTAATCGAACGAAAATAAAATTCCAGAATACGACAAGAATCTATAGATTGTCGTGTGTCGATGAAGCTGCATTCCTCAACACTATGAGCGAGAATGCCTGTTTCTTCATAGTGTGAAGTACCAGAGTCAACCAACGAGGTGATAACGCAAGTTTGTGGCTCGTGAACTTATAATTTACCGATGAGTTTATGTTATATTCCACGGAAGTCATGCATATTTATGTTTTGCGCTACGTTCTCGTTTTTTGCCTCACCAAATTAAATCTGTCTTGAGAACAACTATCTTACAGGATCTCACACGTGTGTAAAACGATTTCTGATCTTATCCGTTAGAACTCTTTTTATTTGTAGGGTGATGATCAACTAATTGAAAGGCTAGCTGGTCTAGATGGGATTATTACGGAGTCGGGGAATAATTTGAAAGAAGAATCGGGCAAAAAGAATCGAGTTCGAGTCCTAGCTGAGGTAAGTGCAATTAACTTTTGTTTTTCTGCACAGCCTTGGTACTGCAGGCCTTGGCGATCCGCTTAAATCCCATCACTAAAAGGAGCAGGTATTATTTTAATTAGTAATTCCTTCGCTTTCTTTAGAATAATTTTCCCCACAGAACCCTTCTGGGAGAAAGCGAGTTATGCTTTTGGTGCAAGGAGTTTGTAAACAATACTGTAGGGAACCTTTGTCCAATCCGTGATCTTTAAATTAATTTACGTAGAATTTTAGAAATAGAAGCCTTCACTTTTCCTTCGAAAACAGTTGTTTTCTGCTTTTTAGCCTCATCTGTTACGTTTACGTTAATTCCATGTGTCGAATATTAAATACGTTTGATATCTCAAATATTGCGTTCTTAATTTGTCTCTATTTGAGTTAGAAATAGCAGAGTTCCTCTCTGCCTTGTTTGTTTTGCATGAATGAATATCTTTGATCATACAGAGCGCTTTCCTCAACGCTTACCCGAAAACAGATGAATGTCGTGTTTTCGCGGAGAAAAATTCTTTAAGAATGCTTTTATGAGGTGACTTCGTTTGCTTGATGGCTCGTGTCATATTGTTTGTTCTTCATTTCGTCGATGAACCATGTTATCAAAATAACGTTTCCATTTGCTTGATAACACTTCTCGCAGCTTGAACTAGCCTGGAATTTTAAACTCTTTTTCCCAAGTTTTTCGTTTCTTTTCAAAGTACCTTAGTGTGTATTTCCGGTGAGTCGGTCACCATGTGGTATACTCTACTTTTCACTAGGTCTTGGATCGTTGAATTTTAATAGCACTGATCATGACTTATCAATCAATTGTAATTTGCCGTGGAATTTAATCGCTGTTTTGCTCAAAGATGGCACTGTTTGCTTTTTAACCCTCAGCTGACGAATTCTTTATCATAAAGACCCTCGAGCCTCGGTGATGTTTAGCACTTGAACATGATGTGTAGAATTTTTTTTCGTGGCTCGCATGTCACGATATTTAGGAATGACCCTTTATACAACTATTATCCTTTGTGATAAACGTCTCGCGGTTGATAGTAACCTTTTTGTTTAAGACAGTAGCGTGTTTACGAAACCCTTCAGTTTGATTTGCATGAGAATAAATGCATGATCGGTAATTGTTGAGTTTGTGCATGTTAAGCGGTGCCGAAATGTTGCAGACATGGAAAGCTGTCGTAAGTTATATGTGTAATCCAAGAGGTTCAGTCGCGCCTTATATTGCACGCTCATCGATAAAGTGTTGATAACGAGTGATTAGGGAATTCCAATTTGCTTGGCATCACTCGCTGTTACCTTGCCGAGGACAAACAGAAATTTAATATACGTCCTACCTTGCAAAGGGCAAACAGAACTTTGTTGATATGTAAATAAATGTTGTAAAGTCACGGTGTGGGTTTCAAATTCATTTTTTTTTTTTGCAAATTAGATGAATTTATCATCTCCATAAAAACTAAACAGTTTGTGGGCTTCACTTTGAACAGTACTTGTACTTGATCTCAAGGAAGGTTATAAAGACACTCAATAATATGAAGTGCAAACGTTCATGTGGAATCACATTTGTGTTAATTGCAAGGCAATTTTATGTTCCTTTGTGTTCAGGATTAACTTTATTAATTATTTCTGCAAATCCAGGGCTAAAATGTAATTAATTTGATCAAAGCCCATATCTTGTGTATTCAGCATTTTATATTTGTGAGCTCATCAATTACATAACAAGCAACAAAATTAACTCAAGTTATCACTGTCACAATTGTTGTCTGGACAATTTTTTTTCCCTTGAGCATGTACAATTTCTTGATTTGATTCCAAATTAAATTTGTGCACTTAATCTTTTGTTATGGTGTGGGTGTAAAATACGATTGAAATTTTTTCTTGATACTTCGAATTTATATTGAAAGTGAAGCCCTTCATTGAGTTTGACTTAAACTTTAAACAAGATGATGGCCATTAAATTAAATTCAAACAAGATGATAGCCATTAAGTTAAATTTTAATTAATTACTTTTCTGACTTTAGTGGGTCTAGAGTTAATTGTGTCCATCATGATTATTAGTACAAATGCTCTGCACTATTAATCATAGCCTGCTTATCACATATACCTGTAAAATATAAATTTTTTAAATTAATCACAGACAAAAGTGCATGAATGAATGCAATCATCATTCAAGTAAGTGGTTACTTGAAGCATGGCTTAATCCTGTTAAATAAATGTTTTAATTAAGAGTAGTAAAATCTTCATAATAAAATAATAGATTGAAATCAAAGTGTGACCAAAGTGTGACCAAAACTAACTAAACATTTTTGGCTCAACAGTAAGTTAGTAAAAAGAGTTTTTAACTTGAAATAACCTTTAAAGAGCTCACTGAATTGTTTTTTTTTTTTTTTTTGCTTTTCCCTGCTTTTCGTGTAACTTCAAGGAAAAATAACAGTACATGTAGATCTTTATACTAATAAGGTTCCAAGGGTCAAATGATAGTTCAAAACAATCCACGGGAGATTCTCTATTAACTAATCTGTTGGGGATGTATCCTTCCGAGTGAAGAGATATTTTCACTAACTACTTATTATACAAAAACTGCCATTTATAAGGTTCGGTAGATATGGTAGAACCATGGTAAAATTAATCCATCTTGTAAGAAGACCCTGGTATATTGAACAATGCCATAAGCTCCAAAGTTGAACCCTAGTGCAACTACTTTCTCTTCCCTGCACTTAGTTTTTAAGTTAGTTCTAACATCTTTCAGATGGACAAGTTTACACTAAGATGTCATATTTTACCCTCAGGCTTTGCTCTGAAATATATAGCTACATTGAGTGGAAAAAGTATATAAATATGATTTTGTTTGAATAAATCTTATAGTCATGGATGTTAAGTGAGTCTGTCTACTTGCTTCCTCTATTTGCTTGGCACCTTCCTTTTCCATCAAAACATTTAATTTACTGGCACATTAAACAAAGAATATTTGTTTATTTTCTAGGCAAATTAAACACTGTTAACATTATTAGACTTGGGTCAGCCATTGATTGGTTATATTTGGAAGTTGTATGCAAGCATTGTTAGGAGAAAGTTATGCTCAAAATCATAATGTCAGAGGAATTGCTAATTATTAAAGTTGCTGAACACTATTTAGTGTAAGTAACTGTGGATTAGAATTTTTAAATGTAATAAAAATGGGGTTGAAGTTGAAATTTTTTTTCAGGTATCCTGAATAGCATTGAATCAGTGCCAATCTCTCAAGTTGTATTTTTACTGTTGATTATATGTAATGTACATTTGTACAAAACATACTTGAATAGACATCTTGTATGGAAAAAATTTACCAAGGTTCACCCTTTTTTTTTAAGTCTTTGCAATGCCTCTATTTGATATTATGTATGGATGAAGCTATAGGTGTACAATCCAATTTTACCAACCATTGTATAGAAATTATGTGGTGGAATGTAGCTGTTGTGAAATTTCAAAATCATGTAGATAACTTGTTATAATGGAACCCAAAATGAGCTGAGACAGTTTTTAGAAATGTAGAGGCTATCCCACTAGTTCTGCATGAGGAAGATTTCTTTGTGACTTGAGGTCAAGAGCTTCTATCTTTATTGGAGTGTTTTGATCAAACTGTGTTGTACATATGAATAAAGGCTGTTAGTTTCGAAAGAAACTGTTTGGGGCTGCGTCAGTGGGAGTAACAAAATAATTTGGATATATCAACAAAGTTGAAATGGTAAATTGGCCACCGTAATGATTACAAAAGGTGACATCTCGAGCGTTAGCCCTTCATCGGAGCGAAAAATCGCTGCGACGAAGGGCTAAAGCTCGAAACGTCAGCTTTTGTAATCGTTACAGTGGCCAATTTACCATTTCAACTTTGTTGATATATTCAAATTATATTGTGTTGTACATAGCATATTTTGGTCTGTTTGTGCTCCGCAATGGAGAGAATCACATTATTTGAATGATGTTATATGTTGTCTCAAGACTTAGTTAATGTCCATCTCTTAAAAGCAATAAATCTTATTTAGTCAGATTGTGGTTAAAAAATCCTAAGCTTCTTCAGTATCTGCATAAATGTGCAAGCATTTATGCAAAGTAGATATACAGAAGATAGCTTATTTAGCTTGTATTTCTAGAAGTAATCTAGCTTATTAGCACAGCCACTGCATGTCCTCTCCGCAGTTTTATGGTAGAAATCTTATGGTTCATTTAAAAAATTCAGCCCAAGTCTTAATTACTTGCAGTTTCTGCTAAAAGATACCATTTGAGGTCCCCTTTTTTTCCTTATTGAAATATTTTCTGATCTGAGTTATCAGACTCTTTGGCAGAGTTTGTTCTTTGAAAGCACCCTCGGGATAATCAAATACAGTTAACTTTGATTATCCATGAGTCCCACTTGACAATGATCTGTTGATCCAAAAACCTTCAGCCTCTGGGTGTGAGGTGGTCACTGTTGGAGATACCTTCATAGGAGTGCTTAGTACCATTTAGAGTAATTTTCAGTTGAATTGCTTTTAAACTAATCAAGATAAAGGTCAGAATTACAAAGAGCCAGCAAGAATTTAAAATAAAATCCCATAAAAACCTAAAGGGTGCAAATATGTCAGTATCTAGGCTACTATAGCCATAGAATAATTGAGATATATCAACAAAGTTGAAATGGTAAATTAACCACCGTAACGATTACAAAAGCTGACATTTCGAGTGTTAGCCCTTCGTCGGAGCGAATAGAGGAATTGTGGGTTGTGTGTGCTTTTAAAGGCAGAAAATGGAGCTACGTTATTGGTGGGAGCATGGCAACGAGAAAAACATGAATAAATTAGTGGAATGAAAAGCGTTCGTTGATCCCTGTGGGATTTAGACTGCCGGTTTGAAAGATGAGCTTTTGTTCAAGATTTTTACGGCTTTCCGTGCCACCTAAGTGCAAGGAAAGACCGCAGATTGCCATATGTTGCTTAGAATGATTAGGTAAATTAAAATGTCTAGCGACTGGTTTCGATGTGTCCTTGTCATTCCTTTCCACGTCTCGAAGGTGTTCTCGGAATCGGTCACCTAGTCTTCTGCCTGTTTCGCCGATGTATATCTTTTTGCAATAAGTGCAAGTTATGCAATAGATTACATTGGCGGAGGTGCACGTGAAGTGATCGGTGATCTTAATGGATCGTTTAGGTCCCGATATTTTATCAGTGTTGTGAATGAAAGGACACGTTTTGCATCGTGCACGAGCGCATTTAAAAGTGCCTGGTTGGTCATTAGTCTGAAAAGAACTTCTGACCAAAAAATTGCCTATGTTTTTGTCGCGTTTGAATGAAATGAGCGGAGGCTGCGAAAAGATAGTGCTTGTCTCTGGATCGTTTTGAAGTAATTTAAAGTTTTTAAGAATGATGGATTTAACTGAGTGGTTGTGAGGGTGAAACGTGAGAGTGAATGGAATGCGGTCGGAATCTTCCTTATGCGACGTTTGTAGTGCTGAATGTCGATCAATAAGTTGGGCGCGGTGGTAACCCGCTTGAACGACAGAAACAGGGTAACCACGTTTATCGAAAAACTGGCACATTGACTCTGATTTGTGGTGGAAATCAGAGTCATCACTACATAAACGACGAAGTCTTAGAAACTGAGAAAAAGGAATGGAATTCTTAACGTGAGATGGATGNCACCACAAATCAGAGTCAATGTGCCAGTTCTTCGATAAACGTGGTTACCCTGTTTCCGTCGTTCAAGCGGGTTACCACCGCGCTCAACTTATTGATCGACATTCAGCACTACAAACGTCGCATAAGGAAGATTCCGACCGCATTCCATTCACTCTCACGTTTCACCCTCACAACCACTCAGTTAAATCCATCATTCTTAAAAACTTTAAATTACTTCAAAACGATCCAGAGACAAGCACTATCTTTTCGCAGCCTCCGCTCATTTCATTCAAACGCGACAAAAACATAGGCAATTTTTTGGTCAGAAGTTCTTTTCAGACTAATGACCAACCAGGCACTTTTAAATGCGCTCGTGCACGATGCAAAACGTGTCCTTTCATTCACAACACTGATAAAATATCGGGACCTAAACGATCCATTAAGATCACCGATCACTTCACGTGCACCTCCGCCAATGTAATCTATTGCATAACTTGCACTTATTGCAAAAAGATATACATCGGCGAAACAGGCAGAAGACTAGGTGACCGATTCCGAGAACACCTTCGAGACGTGGAAAGGAATGACAAGGACACATCGAAACCAGTCGCTAGACATTTTAATTTACCTAATCATTCTAAGCAACATATGGCAATCTGCGGTCTTTCCTTGCACTTAGGTGGCACGGAAAGCCGTAAAAATCTTGAACAAAAGCTCATCTTTCAAACCGGCAGTCTAAATCCCACAGGGATCAACGAACGCTTTTCATTCCACTAATTTATTCATGTTTTTCTCGTTGCCATGCTCCCACCAATAACGTAGCTCCATTTTCTGCTTTTAAAAGCACACACAACCCACAATTCCTCTATTCGCTCCGACGAAGGGCTAACGCTCGAAATGTCAGCTTTTGTAATCATTACGGTGGTTAATTTACCATTTCAACTTTGTTGATATATCCAAATTATTTCGTTACTCCCACCGACGCAGCTCCAAACAGTTTCTTTCGAAACTATCAGCCTTTACTATAGCCATAGGTTTGCATATGATTTGTTAGCTTGAATTTTTTAAACCAGTCATACAGTCTTCACCACTAACTGACTTAAGTTCACTGCTTATATGAAGATCAAGTTTGTGATGTGCCTTTGGCCTCAATACAGACTAAATCAGCATCTTTTTTGTAATGTAGGACTTTGCAACAATGCTGAAGGAGCTAAACCAAGCCCGGGAACAACTTTTAGAAAAGGATGAGGAGATAAGTGAACTGAAGTCAGAGAGATGTAACACAAGAGTGAGTATTCTTCACTTTTCAACAACTCTTTACCTCCCCAAATGTAAATTGCAAATGTCCTGTCTGTTGAACAGTCCCTTCTTAGTAAGATTTTGGATTTCATGAAAATTTGACCTCAGGGTAAAATATCGAAAATGCTTGGAGACACTACAGGTTAATCAAATCCAGAATTCTAAGGGTTAGGAACCTCTTTTTTACCAATTCATGCTCGAGTGGTTATGCATATTTGAGCCTGTGGACAACATTTATCAAAGTCACTCAAATGGTAACCATCCTTTTATTGCCTCTCTGAAAGTCACTTCCTTTAGTATATCAGCCCCCTCATTTAACTCCCCCACCATGTCTTTCCCTCTGCCTGATCAACTCCACCAACTTCCTTTATTTGACCTACTTTTATGATAAGAACTTTAATTGCATTATCACAAATGTGCATATGCTGTTAGAGTTACTTTTACTAGTTCTCTGAATCCTTGGCTGCTAAAGGGTCTTAACTACTTCCCACATCTACCTACTTCCTTCCTGCAGATATTTGCCTCTTCCTCCTCCTCCTCTTCCTCCTCCTTCTCTGCCTCCTCCGCCTCCTCCTCCTCCGCCCCTTCTTAAGTCAAAAAGAGAAATTAAACACCATTTCATTTTTTTCAATGAATAGTACGAATGCTAAGGACCTCATTATTTTTGCCAGCTTAAAGCAATTAAAACATCTTTGTTGCACTTTGTGTGGTCTGTTAGGTTTTTGGGCCCATTCCAAAGATGGCACCAGGTGTTTTTCATTCCTTCTCTTTCATAAGTATATCATCAATCACAAAGATTGACCACTTCTCTTTCACTGTGTCAGAATTATTCTCAAAAAATTGATGGAAATTGAAGATGTATAAACACTGGTCCTAAAAATTCTTGAGTAGGAGGGCATGATACTTTCATGTAACTGTGTTAGGACAATAGTGATTTTATGTGCCCCTTCCCCTCAAGTAAAAAACAAACAAATTCCCCATTTTCCACCTAAGGTTTTGGGAAACTCTTCAAATAATGTTGCATTTAGGTCTGTTTATCACCCTTTTTATCACCCTCAAACTAAGTCTAAGATTATGGAAATTATAGGGATCTAAAATTCTGCCCCAGGTGGATGAAAGATCCGCCTTTTGAAACAAAAGAAGGGCATAACTCCCTTGTCAATTTAAAGTCAGCTTCAAATGAAATGTGACGTTTGTCCATGATTGTTGACTTCAGTCTGCAATATTTCACAGCTTGTGCTTTCTATCCAAACATTATCAGGTTAAAGTGACACCTAAATCTTATCTCTCCTCTATTTATCAATCTGCACCATCCTGGCACTGACAGATATCTTAGATGAAACCTAACTGATAGAAACCTAACTGACAGAGACCAATTTGAAATATGCTGTAATTCTGCTATCTAACAAACAGTAGACATACACACAGCTCATACTGATAGGATATTGACTGACTTTGTCCTATTTGTTTTGTCTTGGATTTGTTGATAATTATTTTACGAAATAGAATTTATGAAATATAAAAATTATATATTTCCTTCAGAGTTCTAATTTACAGTGTATTTTTTTAATTCAATTTAAGGTAATCCATCTCTCTGACATAAAAGTTAAAACTGATTCAGGGGTTTAAAATCAAATTGTGACTGTTTATGCAATTGGGCTGATTTAACCAATTACACCCTCACATCACTATTCATATTCTCCATACTGTTTTTACATTTGATGTGCTGACAAGGAGAATTTGTTTGACAATCAAGAGCTCCTTGATTGGTGATCATTTCATTTATTCTCATGGCCGTAATGTGTAACTTTGGGGTGATAGTGTAACAAGAAATTTGATGGTAGTCACTCCTTGGGTTCACAGGGTTAATTTATTGCTTTGTGCATTATTTAAGTACTGACCACTCTTTTGGGTTGCAAACAGAGTACCAGATATTGCAGAGTAAGTGTTAAATTCCATTCAATGAAAGGGATTGACTGGTGCTTTTTTCAACTCTTTCGCAGCTTCTCTTGGAACATCTAGAATGTTTAGTAGCAAGGCATGAAAGATCCCTGAGAATGACAGTTGTTAAGCGACAAGCAGCCACAACTGGGGGAGTATCTTCAGAAGTGGAAGTTCTCAAGGCTCTCAAATCTCTCTTTGAACATCATAAAGCTTTGGATGAAAAGGTCAGCTTTGGCGACCTGTTTGTTACTTTGCAGAATGTTATTTTAAGAGTGTATGTAAACAACTCTAGAGCTATACACTGCATTATTATCTTGTTTTGCCATGGCTCTATTTTCATATTGGGGAATTTTTGATGAGTTTGTGGTTATCTCAGATGGATCTCTGAAAGGAACAGCCAAGGTTATTTATAACTTTTTTACCAACTAATCAGGATTACTTATTTCTGATGAGTACTTTTCTTACAAAAGATACCCGTATTGGTTTTTATTTATGAGGCTGTGGTCTAACAACGCCGGGTGGCCTCTGGTACCGTACTTTTGCCCTTGGGCGACTCAAGAATTTTAGTTTTTTGATAGAAAGCATATGCTGGGCACCCTGGATTTCACAGTTTCAGAGCACTGGGCTCTGTTCAATTTTCCTTAGAGCACAACCTTGATATATCATTGATAATTATATTTCTGATGACATGTTCTTTTAATTGAATTGGGGATAATTGTATACATGTAGGTACGTGAAAGACTAAGACAAGCTGTAGACAAGAACAATGCACTTGAAGCAGAACTAGAAGAAACAAGAGAAAAGGTATTTGACTTCTCAATCCTCTTTTATGATTGTTGTTCTTTTAGAAGTTAAACCATTTGTATTATGTGGATTAAGAGTCAGAAACAGATCCTCTCAAGTAAATTGTGATTAAGGTAATTGACCTAAAATGTGGACAAGCTTGTGCCACCTTGTCATGCTGGGAATGAGGCAAATTTTCCTTTTTTTCCAATTTTATAAGGTAGTATTCTCAAGTCGAATCATACCTCCAGGATGGCAAGCAGTGATTTAGTTCTCACAAACATATTTCTGTTAAATAAATTAGACTGTTCTCCTTTTTAGTTTCTAGAGACATTTTCCAATCCAGAGACAATCTTTTAAGTTACATTTTTCTCTCTGTTTTTTTTTGTTGTAGCTCAAAGAGCTTGAACAAGAAAATGAAGACATCAGACTGCGGAATCTTAGGAGAATAAGAACTGAAGAAAAACTTCATGCATCAAGTGAAAACTGTCTAGAAAACGGTGATGACAATTCTAACGGAGAGAAGGTAAGCATTTTAGTCCTTTTTGATTTTTCTAAACTGACTAATTAAGTAATTTGTAATCGAAAGGTACATGTACCTTATCCTGGCACCACTGATTAAACAATTATTCTCTTAGCTTTTCACAGAACAATTGTTTGTTTGAAAACCAAATACTGTACTGATAACTTACATTTGGATTGTTTCAGTAATAATTTTTGGTTGACATGTATGCAATAAATCTTCTGGTTATGAAGTTGTAAAAAGAATTTGACTTTTTCAGTAGTGAAATTTTGCTTATCTCCATTGGGATGCTTTTGTACTTGATGGTCTCTTATTACTGTGGATACAGGTACACGTAATTTACAACTGTATTACCATGCAGCACAGTCTTGCATCACTACCCTATTTTTGTTTTATACAGCATCTTTCCAATGGACCAGTTAGTGTTGATGTGACAGCTCATGAAGAGCAAATGGAGGAGATGCAGTTCCTCTTGGATAAGAGGACAAAGGAAGTGGAGCGGGTAACAGATGTTTTGTGTTATGATACCAACTTAGCTGATTAATGAGCTCCTTTGTTGCTGGTATTTGCTATCTACTCACTTTCTACTATCTGTTTGAGATTTTTGTGAAGGATGGGTTAATTTTAACCCTTGAACATTTAGGATGTGGTTGAACGCAGCAACTTTCACTCTAGGGGGCTGTGTATTTCCATGTAAGTGAGCAATATGATGAGCAAAATCCCTTATCAAAAAGTAACTGAAGCTTTCCCTTTTCAGAACACCTTTATTAATCTGGAAATGTTGCTTGCTTATATTCTGAAGTCAACTTTGTTTTTAGCTCACAAGAGAAAACAAGGACTTGAAAGAGAGATGTACAACACTTGAAGAAGAATTGCGAATATGTAATAAACAGCTTGACAGAGGAAATGCCTCCATTCAAAGACTAGAACGAGATTTAGATGAGGTATGTAGACATTTAAGTGAAAATTTTCCTGAAATTTGTTTGCAAGTTAACTCTGTAGCCATTTGTTCTCCTTCATCACATCCCCTGCTTCACTACACAACAAGCCCAAATGATGGCTGAGTAGCATGTCCTACACACAAGTCCTACATACAAGCCAGGCTCTAACCCCTCACTTCCAATCTAGAATTCAGCACTGTTAATTCATTGTTTCTCTTTCCAAGTTGATGAATTTATTTTGAATTTATTTGTCTACAAACAGGCAGCAGCACAGAAATCAGACATGGAGGATAGAGTAGCAACCCTTGAGAAGCGTTATGTACGACTTCAACATGAGGTCACTGCACTGAATGATGATAATGAAAGACTGGAAACTGAACTTGCCAGCAAAGAAAGTGAACTTATCCAGGTAGGAAAAAAATTATATTTTACTGTTGTGTGCTTGGTTGCCAAGCCTTTGAACAAGAGTGAGGCTAAGGGTGACCTCGTTATGATACAAGCATTGCTGCTTTTCAAATGAAAATTACTTTGTTATCGTGCTAACTAGACACTAGTCTCTTATCACAAATGCCTGACAACTAAGTACACAACTGTAACATGGCCCATTTTTTTGTGATTGACAAATTACAAAAAGTTGAAACATCAGTTATTGATGTTGGCAACACGCTTTTTTTTTCACTGAGTATACAGTTTTTTAGTAGTTTAATACTTAATATTCAACAGGCTGAAGAGAAATTAAGGTGTCAGCAAGAAAAACTAGAACTAGCAGAACAGAACCTGAACCAGTCTTTACGAAAAGCTGAAGCTTTACCCAAAATAGAAGAAGAGCTAGCTGTTCGAATGGCAGCTTTGAATGAGGTGAGAACTTCCAGTTAGTTTTATGGTAAGAGCAGTCAGGAAATTATTTTTGAAATACAGATAACTGCATTTCCCTAGTCATTTAAGGCGGTACTGGAGGCTAATTTGGTGGATTTTTGCCAATTTGAGAATAAAATATCTTGAGATAGATTTGTAGCCATATTTTTTAATTTTCACACATGATTTATGATTTCACTTATATTTGGGAGAAAAAAATTATTTCACTGGGTGTCATGAATTATTTGGAATTTCATGGAATTAGGGGTGTGTCCAAAAGGCCATTTTGGAAAAGAACTTCTCTAAATCTGAGGCCATTAAATGTTTCTCAGAGTGGTTTTGCACATGCAAAAAGGTAAACAAATGAAAGGTTTCACAGCAGTCTGCCAAAAAATATTTTATTTTGACAATTTTATTGTCAAAAGATGAAAAAAAAAAAATTAAGGTTGAGATCCAATACCTTCTCATTTGGTCAATTTGTAGTGTAAATTTTCCTCACTGTATGTAGTTTTGGTTTGCCAATTTTCAGATCGAAAGAAGTAATCTTCCCTGAGATAATGCTGTTGCAGTGGCATGACACAACGTAGCTGTACTAATTAAATAGTGAAAAGTGCCAATATCTTTTACAGAATTCATCAGAATAATCATGTTTACTTTTCTTCTTTCCGTCGCCATATTGTGTAAGCCAGTGATAAGTGGCTGTAGCAGTAAATACAAAGTAGCATGATATAAATGGTCATAATCACCACATTCATCTTGCTATTATCACAAAACCAGTCGGAACATGAGACTATAGACATTTGCACTATCTCTAGCAGTGACACCTATCTTGCAGTGTTGAGAAATCTTTCCTGATAAAGTGATCTTTCCTGATAAAGTGTAAAAAAGTGCTCCATATTTCATTACCAAATGGTTACTTATGAAATTGATGTGTCAGAAATGTCATCTGATGGAAATCTGTGTGAATCGCAAACACCATTAGACCAGGATCACATCTCTGTTTTGCTGTGAGATTTGTCCTTTGAAAAGAAACTTCTATCTCGTGTATTTCGAAAATGGCACATTTTTCAATTGTCTGATTTCACAAACAGGCTTTTTAAACAATATTCTTTTAGATGTTAGAAAATAAAAGCATTCCAAAAAGGTTGAGTTAGCCTCTGGTACCACCTTAAGCCCTATAACCTATGAAGAATGAAGGGTTAGAATCACTTACATGCATGGTAAAGAAACAACTTACCAAATATTTCATTCCATGACAGTCCTACATGTATGTTTTGATGATATGCCACAGAACATTTTGAAACAAGGAGAAAAAAGTTTGAATGTAATTTTTGTTGCTAATTATAAATACATGAATAACCAAAAGCATTGTATTTTTACGATACAATTTGTTTTTGGGGCATGCTGTCTAAGGGGAAGAAGAAGTAGAACCCTAAACTATATCTAGTTGCAATCAATAATCTTTGTAGGGCTTTGGTCCATATACTAATAACACAGTTTTGATTGTGTTTCAAGGCTGCAGAGAAACAAGGCACAGCTGAAGAGACTGTTCAACAGTTACAGAGCCAGGTTAAGGACTTACAAGCAGAGCTCAACAGGGTTAGTGAGGGGTGGGAAGGGGTGTATTGGTCAGGTTGTGCAATTTAAACATAACATTATATGATGGGAATGATGTGTTGTGTTGGCTGTTTGTGTACTGCATCAATTTTTTTTTATTCTGGATACTACACTTTGAAAAAACAAAGTCTGTTTCTGAAAGCTTTTATGTGGTAATTATAATATGTTGAATAGTGTTCAACGTATCCCACATAAGCCTGAGTGAAGTCTTGTTTAAGAAATTTTTTTAAGAATATGTCGCCATTGGGTCCACACCAAATTCACAGATGAGAGGCTTGGTCCTGCAAAATTTACGCTCAATGAATGTAGGCGTTTCATAATCAAAAAGTTCACAAGAGCCTTGTTTGGGGTCACTGTGTCACAGTCTTGGAAAAGATGGGGCCATGGTGCTCCTATCAACCAGGAATATTTATTACATGTATTTGGTATAAGTAAATCTGATAAAATGCATTGAGTTAGTGAAGTAATATCAACAGTTTATAGTAAAGTTTGTTTTATTTTAGGCACGTGAAAGAGAAAAGATGAATGAAGACCACAACACAAGATTGTCTAATACAATTGATAAGCTGTTGGGCGAGTCCAATGAGAGACTACAGGTGCACCTTAAGGAGCGCATGACTGCGCTAGAGGAGAAGGTTTGTCATTTATTCAAATGCATTGCTTGTGGGGAGATGCCTGATTATTGGTTTCTGTTCAATAATATTTTTGTTTTAAGAAATTTAAGAAATCATTGAAGCTTATGATAGGAACAAAACTGCCACCTGGATGAAGAGTTTTTTTTTTTTTTTTTTGGCACACATTTTGCCCAATTACATTTGAAATTCAGCACATTCTAACAATGAAAAACTATTCAAAATTTTCATACATGTATTACCTTACAATTTTCTAATATGGCTATGTCTGTCTGTAATGTTCTGCTAGACTGCTTTAAATCAAGAACTTACAGCTGTGAAATCACAAGTAGAAGATCTTCAAAGAGAAAAGGTATGAAGTAAAGGTGCAATTGTCATGTGAGCAACCTATGAAAGGTGGTCATCAACATGAAGAAAGACCATTAGAATGAGACATTTTTTTTAACCTGAAATACTGCAAATGTCACCACAAATGAACCCATAGTCACTGATTAGCTAATTCAGGCGATGTAGTTCAGTTGGTGTAGTTTGATACTATTACAATGTAGTTGCAATACACTTAGCCTGTGTTTCTCAGGTTTTGTTTTGTTTTGTTTTTTTTTTTGTTCAAGTCTTGTATTCCATGCTGACAGTAGCTTGTTTCCTGTTGGGGCTATTCTATGTAAACAAACTGTAATTTTAAGATTTCTTTGTATTCTCTGTGATCACAGTCCCCTTCAAGAAGGAAGCTGCCCTTCAGATTGACACCACTCCACAATTAGTTAAAAACAAAACTAATGGATGTCTTTTTCAATCTTTTTTAAAGGAAATATTAGCTCTAGAACTTGGAAGACTGAATGAAGAATTTGAAAAAATTAGATCTAAGGTAAAATAGTTCTATTAAATGTTGGTATACATGTATTGCTTCTGTCTGGGTGCATTAGCTTTTTAATCATTCCAAGGAATAAAATACTTGCGGTTCCTATTGGTGTGATAATATGCAAGTATGTCTTTCTCAAATGTGGGTGGTGGGAAAGTTATCCTCTACATCCCTGTAAAAGTTTCAATGATTGCTTCATCCTTCTATTTCAACTAGGGTCCTACCACTGCAGCAGTTAATGGCCCTGTGGTAAAGTTCAGGTATGATTTCAAAAGCAAACTACAGTACATGTGTAGTCCTATCCAACAAGATTCTGACACCTTTAGGATCCCTGTAAATTGATTTAAAGAATTTCTTTTAAATCATGTTTTGTTTTCTGTGTTACTTTGCATCCACTGAATCTTTAATACACTAGGCCATTTTGGAATGACCTTTGGCCTCTATTTGAAAACAAGGCTTGGTGCTCAACCGTTCTAATGAAAATGAGGATAATTAGCCTGTGAATGAAAACTTATCATCACATGAAATGATTAGCACAAGTACTCACTTTGAAAAAGAGGTCAAAGGTAATTGGGGAATTGGCTATTAGTTATTTGTAAAATTGAAACAAGTTGATCATGAGTTGCAAATCTTGTTTTTGTTTTCAAAGACAGGCAAGCAGTTTCAGTTTGATATCACACATAAAAGTCCCACTTTTCCTAAGCTAGCTTGTCCTGTCCCCAGTTCAGAACACAATTTAGAGAACTATCCATGCCTGATGGTCTGGGAAGGATATTTTGAATGTGGTTTAGAATGATTAAAAAGAACAATTCTTTTACTATTACAGTTTCATTTGTATTGTATACCTTATTGTGTTACCCTCAAAGTCAGTGAATTTGTGTGATCTTGGTAAAGTCTTGAAACATTTCAAATTCATTGTTTGATGTTTTAGTGAGCCTGTCAGGCGAGAAACAAAAGGTCGAGCTGGAATAGAGGATGCACCAAGCAGAGTCTTTACACTAAATGAACAAGAATGGCAGAAACTGGAACAAGAGAGTGTCCTGAAGAATGTTGCCATGGCCTTTGATACCGGTAAACTTTCAGACATTGAAAGTGATGCTGGCAGTGATATATCAGAAGAAAGAGGTGTTGGTGGTGATGCACAGACCCTGGCTTCCCTGCTACAGCAGCAAATAGATATCATCAACAAGGAACTCAAGTAAGTTGTTTTCTTATTGTTAGGTGCTATTCAAACATTGATTTTGTCATATTTAGCTTTTTTCCCCTTTGTTTTGCAATTGACTAATTCATGTTGTTTTTCTCTGGAATGACTCATTCAGTACACTGCAAGAAGAACACAAATCAACAGAGAGAAGAGCCATCGTACTTGAAAATACTGTATCAAAGAGTCCAAGGCATCAAGATGTGTATTCAGCTAATTCACAGCAGGTATGTTGATTAAGATTGAAATGTGGGGCTATTGTAATGAGTGTATTGAGGACAAAATGAATGTTAAGTTAACTGTTTGCACTGGGAACTGCATTGTGACATCCATTTCCTGCAACTTCTTTGATTAACTTGCTGAAATATTTGCTTGTGTTGAAAAATGTGCATGAAGTGAGGTGCTTACTCTTGCACTGTGAAGATCTGATTCGTAGCTCTCTCTTCTGACCAGCTTTGTTTCAATGTGTGTAAGTTAGGAGAATTTGGGAGAAATCTCATGTACTTACCACCTCACCAAGTTGAGATTAACTGAGCATCTTGTAATTAAATGTGACTTGGTATTCTAATTTTGTTAATTTGCTGTTGTCAGCTTTAAAATCTATTAATTTAACTAATTTTTTAGTCATTTTCAGCTGTAACTGGTCAACTATAGTTTTGAAATTTTTTTTTTTCTTTCTTCAGGAGTTGGTTGCATCCTCCACATCATTTCCATTTCCTCCTCTGGATCCAATGGATACAACACCAATCTGGGTTTGTACTCTAACCTTGTTCACTGCAAAAAAATTAGTTATTAGTACACGATCATCTTGAAAGTTTGACTAACAAAATATAGATGCTATTGAGCAAAAATTGTGGCAGTCATTTTGTGTTGTCTTCTCATAAAGTGTTGAAATTGTCTGTGCTCAATTGTGGTACCTTCTGCGCTGTATGTGTAGGTCAAGTCAAGCAAGGAAGGTTCACTTAATACCCTAGATGATGCACCCACCCCTCCCACACCCAGTTCAGGTACATCAGATTCTACAGAGAGTTCCAAACCCAGTCAGAGTGGTGCAAACTCAAGTCCTGTACATGATGATACTACAGGCACTGTTTCATCTACCAATGGCATGATGAAACTAAGGTTAGTCATCTTTTAAAACTGTGCATTGAGCTGAATAAAGAAAAATGTATTATAAGTAGACCCTCCAGTTGCAAACAAGCACCACTGGCTTGATTCTGCAGAAAGAAATTCCTTTACCTAGTGCCAGCAGCTAAAAGTAAAAGAAAAAGGAAATCAAAAGCTATTTGATTTTTTTTAGCTAGTCTTAAAAAGACTGTCAAAGCAGGCCAAAGTTGTCTGTATCCAAATTTGTACATGACTGACTTGTGTGGACAAATTTCCCTGCCAGTACCAATTGAGAATTCTTGTCATGGTTAGGCATTCATAAACTTTGCCTGACTTATTTGAAATGCACAGGAATGTGTGTTGGTTTGCAAATTAAACAATTAAACAATTTGCTAATGTTTTTTTCATTTCACTGTGTTCCAGGAATAGCTCAGTAGACTCATTACCAAGTGCAACAAGCACCACAAGTAGTGCAGAGTCTCTATCAAAGAACAGCAAAGGCAAGAAAGGAATTAAAGGATCATTTGGACGAATTTTTAAAACAAAGACTAAAAATAAGGACAGCACAGGTGTCCTTACAGACTCTTATTCACTTCCCAATGAATCTGTACCAGGGGGTAGTGGACAACGTGAGTTGGACAGGAGAATAAAAAATAAATCACACTTGTTAGCAGAGGCATTAGCAGCTGGGACACCATTTGCTTTGTGGAATGCACCTACAGTTGTGGCATGGTTAGAGGTAAGTTGATGATCTTGCTTCCTTTGTAGTTATTTTTCTTGTGGTGTCCAAACAAAAGAGCTAAGATATGTTTCTTTACCTTATGAGCATTGAAGAGAGCATTAAAGGAGAGCATTGAAAGAGTGTGTTAATGGCACTAAAGAGCTAAAATATATTTCTTTGCCTTAATGGCATCAAGGAGAGCATTAATAATAATATTAATAATAATAATAATAATAATAATGTAATAGTCTTTATTCCATCATGAGATAAAACCTACATATCTATGTTACATTGAGTTCAGAAAAACTACAATAGAAATCTACATACATAATATGAATTAAAAAGTATGTCATTACAATAAATGGATCCTAAATATCAACCTATTTACAAAGGTGTTCATAAAGCGCTGTATATTAATTTTCATGAAAAGAGTGCATTAATTACATTTAAGAGCTAAAATCTGTTTCTTCACCTTTAATTGCATTTAAGAGAGCATTATTGTCATAGCCTTAATTGACAAATATGGAGCAAGTTATTTATTGGAATACATGCCTTAATGGCATCAAAGAGAGCATTAATCATAATAATAATAATAATAATAATAATAATAATAATAATAGTCTTTATTGCAACATAAGATAAAACTACATATCTTATGTTACAATGAATTCGGAAAAACTACAATAGAAATCTACAACATTATAGGAATTAAAAAGTATGTCATTACAATTACTGAAGCTTAAATATCAACCTATTTATAAAGGTGCTGTGTATTAATTTTCATTAAAAGAGTGCATTAATGACATTTAAGAGCTAAAATCTGTTTCTTCACGTTTAATGGCATTTAAGAGAGCATTATTGTCATTGCCTTAATTGACAAATCTGGAGCAAGTTATTTATTGGAATACATGCCTTAATGGCATCAAGGAGAGCATTAATAATAATAATGATAATGATAATGATAATAAAGTCTTTATTCCATCATAAGATAAAACTACATATTTTGTTACAATGAATTCGGAAAAACTACAATAGAAATCTACAACATAATACGAATTAAAAAGTATGTCATTACAATAAATGGAGCTTAAATATCAACCTATTTACAAAGGTGTTCATAAAGCGCTGTGTATTAATTTTTATTAAAAGAGTGCATTAATGACATTTAAGAGCTAAAATCTGTTTCTTTACCTTAAATGGCATTTAAGAGAGCATTATTGTCATTGCCTTAATTGACAAATCTGGAGCAAGTTATTCATTGGAATACATCACGAGTTGACTTCTGGAGGAGAGTTTTTGTTTAAATGTGTTAATACCAAAATATTTACATACATATGGCACGATCCTCGCAGTAGATAGTGCTATTTAAGCAATAGCGAAAATCAGACCTGAAAAAAATCAGGCCTGTACGGGATTCGAACTTCATATATTTCATTGTATCTAACAAAATATTTGTTATTCCATGACAATTGACAGAAGTCTAACAGTTACTCTATGATAGAGGAAGTTTTGCGTTTTCTAAGTTCTCCTTTGTATTTGTTGTTGTAGTTGTGGGTTGGCATGCCTGCCTGGTATGTGGCAGCTTGTAAAGCCAATGTTAAAAGTGGAGCAATAATGTCGGTAAGCAACTTTTGTTACAGTGCTCTTGCTCAAAACTTTTTGGTTTTCTTAAAGTAATGTATTGTCTTTGACATATTTATTTTGAGATACAATCCAATTTGTGTTGCATATAGGTATTCCAAAACAGAGACATAAAGAAACTCAAAATCATTTGTCTGATATATAACCTGATCATGATTGGCTTTGTTTCAGGCTCTGTCAGATACAGAGATTCAACATGAAATTGGAATATCCAATCCACTTCATCGACTCAAGCTACGGCTCTCAATTCAAGAGATTGTCACCCTTACAAGTCCATCCTCACCCACAACCAACAGAAATGTGAGTTCAGAACAAAATAGAGCAATGAGTAGACTTAAGATGTGGGGCATGTTATGCAAAGAGATCAAACAAGGGCTGCAATGGACACTAACCCTTGGTTATATGGTTGATTTAGTCAGTCCTTATTTCATTCTTTCTTTCATTTCATCGTTTATAAGTTCATCCAGTTGATCATGTAGCAAGCATGTCACGACACTCTTTTCGCCTTTTTCTTCCAGTCTCTCGTTTATGGTGAAATGAACCATGATTGGGTTGCAAATGAATGGCTTCCAAGCATAGGTCTTCCTCAGTACAAGGTGAGGTATTGTTTGAAGTAATTTTTTTTTTCTCCTTGCTCTCATTTCAATTATTCCCTTTTCGGGATTTTTGTATTGGACCTTCTTAGATTTTTAAGACTGGCCCCCCCAGATTAGCACTAGCTATCTGCGAGCCAGGCTAGCTGAAAATTGTATTTTAAGTACCAGTTTGAAAAATAAGGTGGTTGTTCAGTGAACAATGTGAATTTAGTGAACTGTAATCAGACTTGCCATACTTTGTTTCTTCAGAGCACTTTTCAAGAATGTTTAGTAGATGCACGAATGCTGGAGCACATAAGCAAGAAAGAATATCAAAAATATTTGAAAGTAGTTGATGGGTTTCACAGGTTTGTGCTCTGTTAATCATTTTTTTTTTTTATTGTGTTTTGGAGATTGATAATTAAGTTTTGAATTTGTTTGCACGATATCTGTAAGAGACTTTGTTATCAAAGAAGAACGATTTATTATCATTTTATTTACTCGCACAGTACGCAAACCCAATTCATAAATTACAGCTTTGCACGGGAAAAAGAATGTTCATCCTTTGTCTCCCAAGAATGACTAGCAGCTAATTAGTATGTGTAATTAGTATGTGTAATTAGTATGTGTAATTAGTAGGTGTAATGTGTAATCAAATGGCGACCAGTCAAATTAGCAAATAATTTCACGCGCGTTTTGTCAAAATTGTGATAATTTCCCTAGCCTTTATTGTGGGTGACAAATTACGTTCACAACCGTAATTGTTTTTACTGGTTTATTCTATCGAAAACCGAGAACATGAAGAAGAATATAGTTTTCGTTTAAAGCATACATTATTGTTAAAGTTCGTAATTTTCTGAGTTTCTTCACAAAAAATACCTTTCGAATTCTTCGTGCCTGTTGATAATTTTCGGCCGCTTCTTTTTATTTCATAACTTCAAGGGTCACCGTCTTAAATTTCGACGCCATCTTGGCTCTGATCGAGATACAAGAGATGTTACCGTGGCAATTTTGTAATTTCACATGTGAAATTAAAACTTAACGCTGAAATTTCGCGCCAAAATTAAGGAGTTATTTGTCACCTATGATATTACTCCTTACAATATCACTCCTAAATCACATAGTAAGGTCAGGAGAATACAGCAATTCATCACCAACTGAACAAGCTCTGGATTGATGGAATTCTCCTTGTCACCATCTCAGGGAATGTCTCGAGAAAATAATGATGCTAGGATGAAAAGGGTTAATACTCGTTTGATCTGATCTAAAACAGTTACTGTGTGACTGCCTCAATGACTGTTTGACGGACTCATTGATTGCTTGATTGATTGCTTGCTTGATTGATTGCTTGATGCTGTATTATTTTTTGCAGACACAGCTTGCAGTGTGCTGTCAAATGTTTGGGGTTTATGAATTACGATAAAAGGGTAAGTGTTGAGTTTGAAATGTGTGTTTGTATTGGCTTTTTGAACTTGTATAAACCAGAATGACGGATATTAATAATTCAACCAATTGAATTTGAATTTATTTTTGTGATAACATGTGCATACTACTTCTTGAAGAACTCCTTTAAATGTGCATAACGTAGTAGATTTTAGGTGAATAACAATAGCTTTCTTAGTAGCATCTTACCGGTGGCAAAGCAGGCGCGTGACCAATCAGAGCGCGCGCTTAACTTTGCTTATGTTATAAAATGAAATAGTTACCTTTTTATCTGTTTTTTTTTCCCCAGTTACTGGAGAAAAGAAGACAAATGTGTGCTGACGAGGTTAAAGGTAAAATAGTTTTCCTCGCTTGAAAAAAAGATTTATATTATATTAGGTAACTGCAGACAGTACTGTTTCGGCCTTCTGGGCCTCATCAGTGCAGTGCTAATGCAAGGATGGGGGAGAACCGATATGGTCAGTCCAAACGATCCCACGTTTTAGGTACATGTATTATTTGGATGAGTTTGGACAAACCCTAGCAACTGTTCAGATAGTCAGAAGTGTTAGTTTGTTTTCCAACATGATGAAGAAGCGTTTTATTAGTTTTGCATTAATAATTTGACTGGAATCTTTTTATCTTCAGATGTACTTGTTTGGAGCAATGAGCGTTTAATAAGTTGGCTAAAGAAGATTGGATTAGCCGAGTATGCTGATAACTTGCATGGCACAGGAGTACACGGAGCAGTGATTGCTCTGGACGAAACTTTTGACTGTAATACCCTGGCTTATGCTTTACAGATACCCAGTCAGAATACACAGGTAACATACGCTTGTGTTTATATGTTTCAAAAATTACTGTCCATGTCAAAGTCATTATTTTAATTGTTCAATTGCGTCATAAACTGAAACGACGCATCATGCCGATGGTTAGGTAGGCAATTTTCTTGGAGCAGTTTTCTCTTGACAGTCGAAAAACCAAAACCAAAGTAATCGTAACAACGAATCGGAGCAAAGGCTGACATCATCATCAGCCAATAATAATTCCAGGTAAACACAGACGAACTGCATGAAACGCAGGAAAGCGCGAGTGTTCAAAGAAGGTTTATTTTTAGTCTTGAATGTGATTGGTTGACAAGGTGGCGGGATTTTCCTGCACCAATCACAGAGCGAAGTTAAGCAACACCAAAGCAATCATGGACTACTTTCGACCCCTATTGAAAACGGCTCTCTATGGCCATCTATAGGTGACACATTTTTCCTCATGGATGGAGCTCCACTTAGGAATTCACCAAGCTCTTGGTCAGTTGTGACGAGATAAGGAGCTGGTGACCGGTACACAGCGGTTACAAGGCTACGGATCGAGAGGTCTCTTCCTTATTCCTATTTTTTCCTTTCCTGACCGCCGCTGTTTCCGCGCCCCTGCTCTTTCGCTTGCTTAAAATAGGCCTCCATGCATGATAACGTCATTGGTTGAAAATTTACTCTCAAGCCTCGTTTACAGAACGTAAAACAAGCATTGAATGCATGTAGGATGTACCTTTGAACTTGACAGTATCTGGATGGTTTCTTGTAGATTCGTCAAATACTTGAGCGGGAATTCAACTGGCTACTGGCGAATGCTACTGAAAGAGAAACTGTTGATGAAGTGAGATTATTATTCTTTCTTTTCAACTGTTCAATAATACTTGATTTATCTTTAGAGCTCTGCAGTGTGTTTTATCTTTTTCGAATGTAAGATGTTATTACCTTACTTGCACCGCTAGTAAACTGAGACTAAGTTGATTTCGACATAATTCTTTACATTTATTTCTTCTTGAATCAACTTTCTAACTCCTTCATTCTCCCCAGCTTGGCAATGGAGGCGATTTCAAACGCTCCAAATCTTGGAGGAAGATGTTTAAACAGAGAGATAAAGGCAAGGACAAGAACAAGGATAAGGAAGCCAATATAAGAAAAAATTCGTCCGGGTCAGAGTCATCGCTGAGCCAGTCAAGTGTCAGTTCGTCTCCAAAACCTTCAGCCAAGAATACTAGAAACAACTTCGTTGGCAGCGACACAAAAAGTGCAGGTAAGCTACAAATTGAGAGTGGAAGAGCAAGGAGCAAGGAATTGAGAAGTATGTTAACTGAAGAAGTAGACTTTTTTCGTGTTTTCACGAGCATCTAAAGGAAGGGAATATACACTCCTTTGTATTATACGAAACACTTGAAAGAGAAAAGCTGGACTCCCCTGTCGTCCAAGTTTCGTGTGAGGGGGATATAGTAAGGGATAAAGTAAGGGAAATTTCATTTAAACGCGGTAGTTATATCAAATTCACGTTTCGAACATTTGTTTTACCTTAAGACCTTTAAATTCTGTTAACTCTGATATTTTAAATGAGTCGCGGTACGCATTTTAGGAGCGAGTTGATAGGTTCACTGAGCTGGAAGAGAAGGACATGATCAGTCTTAGGTCCACTGTGGGTTATTGTTACTGTTTTCGTTTCAGATGGCGGTTCAGTGATCGCAAGTAACAGCCTTTCGTAGCAATTATACAACAATACGCCATCACACAAACAAGTAAGTGTTCACTGTAACTCAGTTCGACATCGAACCTCAGAAAAGTAATTGTTGAACAAAAAGGAACGATTGTTTTAAAGATTTGTAAGGAATAGATCGTTCAGTGGCTGGTGGAAGAAATATGCATTTGGGTTTCCAGAACTATTTGCGAATGCATCGGTATATTACTAAACCATCAACTCCCCTTGTTTACAACATCAATTTGTTCACTCTGCCGAATTAAACCTTTCAACGAAACCTTCGAAAGAAAACCACACTTTGCGGTCGCGTGTTGATCTCAAACGGAGCATTGTGATTGGCTCTTGTCCCTTATACCTTACCACTCTTGCTGTCATAGGCGCCTACGGGTGGCTCTAAGACGTGTCCATGGATCTTTTTCCGCGAGATTTCTACCTTGGAAAATTTCGGTCACACACGCTTCTATATGAATCGTGTCGTAATGAAATCGTCATGTATCACGATGTAAGTGCCCCGAGCACTTCCCAGCTGATCGAAGTCAGTTAAATGACCATTCTGTAGACGTTGGTCGGAAACTGAAACCAATTGTCCAGTTTTATCTGGTTGACACTACTCTAATTTGACTAGGAGTATCAATTGCGTTAATGTAGTTGGGGATTCAGTATTTTGTTAGGATACCTTAAGGCTTTGTATAGTCGAAGGTAAATATTTAACAAAAGTCTTCTTTTTTTCTCTTCAGGTGTCGATTTACAGTGGCTTAGTATAATTAGCCAGTATATAACAGCATGCTTAAATTATAGATAAAATTTATTTTTCAATTTGGACAAGGTAAACTATGCTATCTATGGTTTTAGTAGCACCTAATTTTATGAAATTGTATCAAAAGATTTATTATGCAAAGGAATTGGCTTGGGATTAAGCTACGGACTGACCGTGCAAAGTGTTTTGGGGTTTGTGTAGTGCTGGCATATTCCAGCCGTTTTGTACATGTAATTTTCCATGCCTGACGTGTGAATATGATTAGTAATTCTGTCAGGGTAATAAATTAAGGGACATATTTGTGCATACATCATTCATGGTGGTGCTTGTGGACTTGAGTGTCTAGTGTTTCGGTTTCGATCTCCAACTGCTGAATTGCGCATGTGCACGTTGAGGGAAGACGTGTGCCCGGAGGAGATATGAATTTTCTGACCGCAGAAGTGAAACTAAAACACATTTACAATGTGGGTGGGTTGGGGTGGATCTCGCTCAGGTCACTGCACTCACAGAAACATGAGTATGCACATTTTGAGACACTTTTGTAATGAATTGAAATGATAGTGAAAATAACAATTGTCCTGTTTTCAATTGAAATGAATATAGAATTTTTTCTCATTAGGGTGAGAAATATTATTTCGTAACGATTAACCATATTTAGCTTGTCTAAAAATTAGTCATTCTGTTTGTGAAAGTTAGATGTTTTGCAGTACTTTTTATAGCAAGGATTGAATTTTTGGTAGAGTTAATACTTTCAATGATCAGGAAACTTTCTTTTAAAAGCCAATCTTAGAAATTTCAAACATGTACATCTGGTTAAACTGGAGTATCTTCCATCCAATCAGAAGCACTGTATGTATCTCTTATGCTTCAAGTAGACTTTGATCGAGTTTGACCTGACCTGAGCTAGATAATTTTGAATCAGCGACAGCATGATTTTGTAGTAAGAAATGTGAAATGCCTTTAAAGCTGTTCAATTTAATGGAAATAATTGCCTTGAATACTTTTACACGAGATAATAATGACTTTGCATTTGGACAGAATCCTAAAACACTTTGTAAACCTTTCACCACCCAGATTTTCTCAGCGATATCAAATTTATACTACAAAATACTGAAAATGTCAAATAATCGCTTGAACAAGTCAGGTACGATCGTTTTCACCACAAAGCATCTTTGGACCTTATAAAAACTCACTGGAAATAGATTTCCGTCAGTGGAAGCTAACTGTGATGACATCAGCCACACAGCAGATGTAAAGCCAAGATCACTGTTATTTGTATCAATTTGGTGAACTGTTAATGATGGACTTTCAAATTTATTTGCTTTGAAAATCCCTTTCATTTCCAGCGAAATATGATTTCGAAGACCGCGTTTCAGTGGAACTTACAAAATGCATAGTGGAACATTGCCAGTAATTTTTTTTCATGTCTTAGAAACTTTTTTCAGTATTTTTTTTTTATACATCATCGGTTGATTTTCTCGCTAGAGAGAGGCATCCAAAGTGACTAAGTGATTAGTGACGTGGGAAAAGGTTACACTGAAAGTTGCTTGCAGCTTAAAATTAGTATATTTAGTGATTGTATCAGAGCCAGGAAAAAATAGAGTTCAACTCGACTATATCTGAGCTGACCTGCTACAGGTCCACATTAGGTGTTTCTAATTAATACATGTTTATTCCTTACTAGTCATAATCGCAAAGGCCGGATTAGGACAATTTAGTAAGTAATCGATTCAGTTTTGGCTGAATCTAAGGACTCGCACTTAGTAAATTCGAATTCGTTCGTAGTTAAGCTCTTCGACTAATTATTGAGGGCAAATGGAAGCTCTGTTATGGCTGAAGCATCAGTTGGCGTTAATGGTTTAACAGGAAGCATTGACCGTCAGTATTTATTTACAAATGAGAACATCGTTCTTTGTTTTTCTGTCACTATATATCATTTGTAAAATACGAAAATTAACAACGTTGTTATCTGTAATGTATATGTAACCAAATATCAGGATATTGAAATACAGTTATATTTTATTAGTTATGGGTCTGCAAGTCTGGTCTAAGTACTCAGTTACAGCAATAGGCTCATTTGATCAGGATAGAAGCGAGAAACCTTCAATCAAGTATTTTTTTTTTTTTTGCCATCTGATTTTGCCATCGTTCTATAAGAATCATCTGATTGGGCATAAGATGGGAAGTTCTATTTACCTTCTGTGCTGAGGTTGTTTAGGTAAAAGTTCTACCTTTCTCGGGTTTAGGGGTTATTCTCCGAATATGCGGCGCCTATCTGAAAACGGCCTACATTAATGTTTCTATTCTGATTTAAAGTGCAGTGCTTCATTCATTAAATACTGTGTGTCACCCTCCAGCAACAAAGCTTTCACTTCTTGCTGTATCATCTTCCTAGCTTCCACTTTTCCTTAGTGATCCTACTTAAATATTGATTTCCTTTTATACCCGAATAAAATTACATCAGAGTGAGCAGAAGTTAATGTTAGTGAGGCTGTTACATCCCGGGCAATTTCTCCAGATTGTGGCAAAAGCCGCTTAAGTATGTCATTCAGGACTTGCGCAGCTATTTTGGGACACAGATGCTTAAGATTTTATTGCCCTTTGCATCCATGTAAAGCTAAAAGGATCCTTCTTTGCGAGTAGCTCAACTGGTTTTTTCAGTACGTCTGTAGTGTTCCACCATCACCATCACTCTGCCGGTTTTTTACATTGGTTAAGAAAAGGTATTGCTTCGTCAGTTGATACATCAGTATTGTCTTATTTCTCTTTTTACAGAAAGTTGGAGGAAGAGCCGTTTGAGCAACTTCCGTAAAGATTAAGTGAGTGCTTCATTTAATTGCACTGACGCCAAAGTTGATGACTGAAGTTGAAGTTTTATAAAGTCAGGAAAGTCTCTAATCCTGGAAAACATTGAAACAGTGTTTTTCTTGGAAAATTCAGTTTGAAACTTTTGAAAAAACTGACGTTTCGATAGTATCTCACATTTATTGATATTATTGCGAATTCAAGCGGTCTCTTTCTTCTTATCGAAATCATATGCTTCTATGTCCTTTTAGTGATCAGCTGATGCAAAATGGTTTTCATTGACCCCTTTCCTTTCCGTTATAGATTACTTTACCTAAGTCGGAGCAACACAAGAATTGTGAGATATTCCTGTCTTTATTCTTTTACTTTCAGCTCAAGAGGTTAGAGTTCTTTGATATCTCAACAGATCCTTCGTGCCTGCAGTTCATAAAATCATCAATACAAATTATCGAACAGAGTTTCTGTGTAGCGTTTTCTAATTAGATTTGAGTCAGATTACTTGGATCGCTCGGGAAACTAAGCCTGGAAGAAACTACAAACAACACAAGGTGATCTTTCAGTGTAGTATGTACTCATCGCTCTCCGTTCATCAATTACTTGGCTACCATTATCAAATCCTCAAACAAACGAGAACTGAAAGCTAAGACTACGAGAGAGAAAACTGAAATGTCTACGCACAGGTATGACAACAAGTTACTATCAAATCTTGAGCCGTCTTAATCATCATCTTCCGAAAAAAAAGGTCAACAAATCGCAAGTAGTTTACCGTGGTCTGTTCTCTTATCGACAACGACATTCGTCACAACATTTTGACCACTGTGATGACGAATGTCGTTGTCGATAAGAAGTATAAGAGTACAGACTTCGCTAAACGACCACTTTCGATTTTTTTTTTACCACAATATCGACGTCAATAAAACGATTCTTTCAGTACGAGACACGTTGCGCGACACGTTGATGCAAGTAGCGTTGTCTGTACTCTTATAGATGACGGCAAATTGACCAATCAGATTGTGACATTATTGCCAATTGTGGTAAAGACCACAAGCACTGTGCTAGACCACGCAGACTATCTCTAGGTCAACACAACTCGATGTCAATGCGATTACAGGGGACTAAGTTCGACTCTATGGCAACTAAGAGTGGTTTAAATGACTCAGTAACTGCTATCGATCCGATGATGAAACTCTGAAAAGAATGCGAAAATCATCATCTTATACTGTATCAGTCAGCTTAGTGGCTCTAACGCTTTCCTTTGCCTCGAATGATTCGTTTAATCGAGAATCTTTCAGGCGCAGATGTTCCAGATGGCAGAAGGGACTCTTCAATGCCTCGCTTACAGTTGCGATACTGGTACGACTGATAATGTTTCTCCCCAAGTCAAGACGACCCAGCTTGCAATGAGGACTTCGGAACGTATGTGGTAAGCCAGCGATGCCTTCATCACCTATGTCATTTGCAACCAGCACCAAAGTGTGGAGCTTGTTGTTGTGGATCCTGAGCGCAGACAGCAGTTTTGCAGTTCCTTCATTACCGATATGGTTACCTTCAAGGTTTAAACACTCTAAACAGTTGGGCTTTCTGATTGCTTCGGCCAAACATTTGCAACCCTTGCATTGAATCTGATTGTGGCTCAAATCAAGTTCTTGGAGGCCACAGTTTGGGCTACTCAAGCTTTTTGAAAGACTTTCCACTCCACTGTCACCGATGAGGTTGGAGCTCAAGTTTAGAATGGTAACCCTGCATTCTAACGAAGTCAGAGCTTCTGCTATTTTCTCTACCCCAGCGTTTGTGATGTTGTTTCCAGCGAGGCCTAATCGTGTGATTTGATTTTGCAAACAGTTTAAAATCTTTAAGCAGTGGATGACTCCCTCGTCTTGTATTTGGCAGTGGTTCAGCTCCAGACACCTTATCTTGCAGTTTGCATCCATGAAACAAGGCAACAGTGCTTCTATTCCTACAGACTCAATGTTATTTCCACTCAGATCAAGTTCTTGTAGATTGTTTAACGTGTGAAATATTGAGATGAGGGAATGAACGCCTCTCATGCCAATGTTGTTCCAAGCAAGATTTAGCGTGCTTTGTTTAAATGACACCAAACGAGTCACTCCGTCGTCTCCAATATCGTTCCAGGATAGATTCAGCTTGGAGATTTTACCCTTTTCGACTTGTAGAACGTTTGATAGATGTTCAACGCCTTGACTACAGATCTGATTACAGCTTAGGTTCAACTCTTCCAAACAAGTGTTTGACTCCAGTGCTGACGATAACTTTGAAATACCATCACTTGAAATGTAATTGTCAGCGACGTTTAAAGTCTTCAGCCTACATTCCCTTTTCTTAAGAGCTTCGGTAAGTTCTTGAAGTCCTTCATCACCCAGAACATTCCCTTGCACATTTAACTCCTTTGTTGGGCCCTTACCAGGAAGCAATAGTTTCTGTGTGAGTTGACGTGCGCCCATCACGCTGATTTTGTTATCCGATAAATCGACGGCACTGATGGAAGCAAATGGTGACGTCCCTAACACATTTGCAAGAGCAGAGCATTCTGCAACTCCAATCTCACAGCCAGAAAACTCAACGATAGGAATCATCTTGCTCGCCACCTCACGTGAGATCTTCTCATCCTTTATCTCAGCCGCACATTTTATCATAACGAGCTGAAGTTCTTTTTGCCTCTTTATGTCTTCGGTCGGAGACACGCTGTATAACCCTTTGACGAGATCAATCATCTCTTTCTTGTTTTTGTCTGAGGCCTGTGAATCACTAAATTGCAGACCGTAAGCAAACTGAAGCACTCGGTCCTGCTTTCTTGAACCCTCATTCTTTACTTGCTCTACTAACCTCTTGAGCCTTTTAAATGACCTGTCCAACACAACAAAGTAGGCTGCGAGAAATTCCCGAAGATCGTCGCATCGGAAAGTGAACTGCACCTTTTCAGAATCATCGGATTGTCTCGTTCTCTTGAAATACTTCGAAATTGCTTCCTCGGATAACATGTGGGAGCGAAGGTAATCAACGTCAAACACAGTCATATCCTCGTCAATACTCTTCATTGCCAGAGAGCAGACTTCTGCGTCAATTTCCGCAAGGTGATGAAGAGCAAACTGGGTTTTTGACGACGTTTTTCGCTGGGTGGGTCCCCAGGAAGAAAATCTGGGACTTTGAGTGGGTGAGGTGGCATTTTGCAGTGGTGACCTTGAGTCCTCTGCAGGGGGCTCTACAGCATTATTTTGTAAGCTTGGCGTGTGTATTTCCATTGCACTCAGGCTGATCGGCTCCCTGGTAGTCTGTTGCAAGCAGGAAATCATTTGTGCTATGCCAATGTAAAGTTCTGTGATGGTTTCAGGAGGGTTTCCTGCGGTCTCTGAAACAATTGCGTGATCGGATCTTCGTAACCATTTCATAAGAGTGCACATGTAGAGGCAATGTAGTGGAACACAACATATGGAAAGTGTGTTATCTGTCAAATTGTCTTTCAACTTGGCAGTAGCCAACTCGTCGTCTTCGCAATCGTCACTGCTTGTAAAATACTTCTCAATGTATCCCTTGATTTCACTTGGAGAAAATCCCATGAGTTCTGTTTGACTTGCAACGCCGAAAAAATCTGCAACACTGTTGTCTGTAAGCCTGGACAAAATTAAAACTGTTGCACCATTTAAGATTTTTCCAGTCACAAGCTTTTTCAACAAAGCTGAAAAAGGCATCTTTTCTTCAAAACTATCGCGGAAGTCAGATTCCTGGCATCCAGAATTTGGTTTGCAGACGTTGTCAACCACGATTAGCGTCGCGTTGGGATTGCTTTTCACAAAATCAAGAAGGTCTTCTGGAGGATCTAAAGAAACCTGACGGCGGATTAAATCCTCGAAGGAAATCCCTTCGCCAGGAGAATCTTCTAGAGCTTTAAAATCCAAGCAAAGCAGAATCTTGATCTGTGAGGAGAGTGAGGTCTTTTCCTTTGCCCAGTTTCTTGCGATTTTTTGAGCTAAGGTGGTCTTTCCCATTCCTGCCTTGCCTGTTATCGAAATATTACCGATGCCCTCCAGGCTCGTTGATTTCTTTTCAACTGAATATTTTTTTGCCATAGTTTTGGAACATTTCACCCCTGACAACACTGGTCTTGTAAACATATCGTCCAGTTTCAAGTTATCGACGTCGTCGAGAGGAGAATGGTCGATATATTCTGTTTTTGTCGAGTAAATATTCCTCATGTCAACCAGATATTTTCTTAATGGGTTTACACACACGCACGAAAGCTCGCGATGCTCACTGACCTCGCTCAAGTAGAGGCGAAAGAAGCCAAACTGTCGATCTGTTGGCATAACACATTCACACCAGCAGCCATTATCAAGGTGTTCAGTCTGTTGGTTTGCATCTCCAATGAAGATTGTTCTACTTCTCGACCTTGTAAGACACAACAGGAAAACGAATTCAACTAAAGAGAAAAATGTTAACACCACAATGACGAGCAAGACTGTGGTCTGCAGCGCAGATTTCGCTACTCGAAACTTATCGGTGCAAGTGATACTTGGACCAAAAGAATTCTGAACGACACAGTCTAGTCGAACTGGGAACGTGTAAAAGACAAGGGAAATGTAAAAGAAAAGCATGATAACGTTGTAAAGAAGTTTGGCGAAGAGTTGCAAGCAATACACGGCGTAAAGACCACATAATGGTGTCGTGCTTTTTCTCCTGCGGAATCGCCAAAGCCTGGGAACAATGTAAAGAGTGTAAATCAGCCAAATGGCAAAATAAACACCACCATATACTCTGAGGAAAGGCCGTTGCATTTTCAAAGCGGGGCTGTCACTGTCAGGACACTTTACACTATACTCTGTTGTGCCGTTGCAAATAAGATAACTGCCTCGGGAATGAAATACTTCCAATCCTATTAAAGTTACCAAATACGAAACGAACCATACACCAACTTGAAGCTGACCAAAGTATGTTTGAGACTTCCAGATTAGATAGATAAGCTCATTGGTTTTGGCTCCCATGGCTTTTTTCTTCTGAAAAGGAAATTTTAAATAAGTAGGTCCGTTAGCATTCTAGGATAACTTTGTTGTTCAAACGATTGTCACATTTTACGCGGACGAATAATCTTAATGCCGAATCGACGTTTTTTTGGTGGCTTACAAGAATCGAAACCGGCTTTTGAGATTGTAACACAGTAGCTACTCAATTATCAGACTTCTATTATCGGTGTACTCTTTCCACCTTTTCCTGTCGTGAAGATACAATTTGAACTATTCGTATTCGTTTTCGATACCGTTGGGGCGAATGGCCTCTTTGGAATAATATCAGGGGTGGTGGGGGGAGGGGAGGGGGAGAGGTGTTTTAAGACGTCCCTTCCAACAAGAACGATTAAAACATTTTTCTTTTAACGTTATCTTCTCTGTACCCGAAAACGAGCTTTCAAACAGTGTTAAAGTCTTACAGGTTTCATTTTATTTCATTACTTTCTTTAACAAAAAGATGGGTTCCGGAGGTTCGGCGAATTCGACGGTTCGGCAGTCTGCTGATCCTTGGCTTAGTAACTCCCCACACTATACTACGATTGGTCGTTCTTTATAAGCTTAGTCTGTCACGCAAGTCAAGTAAATCTTGTTTGCGCATCGCCGACTATTTTTTGCCTTAACTGTTTTGACTGTCGTGACGGGCTCAGGCGGAAAATGGAACATCTGGTGATCAAAACATGGCGGTAGCTTTGAAGCTGTGGTACAATTCTTTTCCTTATGCCTGTAAACTGTACCCATTCCTCTTTCAGGCATGTGTCACTGTGCTCTAAACCAATTTTCAAAACTAACAAACAAATTCTAAGTTACGTACTCTAGCTGAGCTTGAGTAGTCTTCTGACATTTCGAAATGGTTTTAAATAGCAATGGCTTTGCGTTAATCTAAACTTTCTGATGGCGTTGCTCGAGGTCGCGCCTCTTAAGGTCGTTAGACGAAAGCTGATGGATATACAGAATATAATTCAATTGGAATTCATGAAAAAAGATCTGTTGATAATTTGATGTACGAACGCGGTACATGGTAAAACGTTTGACTGATTTTGAGGGTGATGATTTCGAAGGTACCTTTCTCCGAAATTTGTTGTGTGATGAATTCTAAACATCACAACGTACCTTAAAAAGTGGTAGCGTACTACATTATGAAAACAATATGTCTGACTTGACATAAGCTACCTAGGTGTAGTTTATGTATCTATCGGGGACGCGCTTTAAAGCATACATGTATATAATTAGTTTCCGCGTTTATAGCTTCGTGGTCAGGAGACCACGGAAATTAATTGAAGTGGCAAGTCATTCTTCGTTTAAAGCCACAGCTGGATCGTAATAAATGCAAAACTCATCCAGCTTTCTAGAGAAATTTCCTCATATCTAATATAGCGATGCGAAATTGATTCAGTGTTTTCTTACCAGACTCGTGCTTCTGTTTCGTCTTCGGCGTCTTTGTCTGCTTGTCAACTGTGAAAAGCCTTCTATAGCTGTGAGCTAACTAAATCTATATGGCCTGTCATCTCTCGCTTTTAAATTCTTTTGTAATGACAGAGGAAAAGACTAAACAGCCAAAATTAGCTTGAAGACCAAAAAGCCAACAAATTCAGTCATGCTCATTTGGGCGACGTGAGCGTTCATTCTATCACCATAAAGCTGTCAGTTGGAAATGATGACCTTTAGAATTAATTATTTATTTTGGAAATGCGCCTAATTAGGCTTGACAGTCAAACTATACAAGCCGAAACCGACTACATCCGGCTCAAAGGACGTACATAAGAAGTTGCATTCAAACGCTTAAAAAATCCGCTTTCTGAGTTTTTCTCTCCTTCGAACCCTATTGATAAGTTATCATAGCTATTTAGAAAATGTTGTTAAGAACTTACTATAAAAAAAATGGAGTAAAGTTGCCATAGCCATTTAGAAAATGCTTTTAAGAATCTATTCTAAATAAAATAGAACCTTTCATGGTCACAATGGAACGTCTGAAACTCAAACAAGTCTTCAAACAATAAACGCAAGAGGTCACAAGGTTGTAAGTGGAGGTTTTCGTTTCATCCGATGTCTGTCAGCATTAAGCCTTGGAATGTTAATCAATCAATCAATAAAGATTAGGTTTCTTTGGTGGTAAAGGAATTTGCACTCTATCAAGTCTTTGTGCGTGTTGGACCCACGGTGCACCCTTTATAAAAGTTTTGCAGGTTTTGACAGAAAGGACTATTCATTATACGTAACTTTGTAAGTTAACCTTTGTTCCGAGCGTTTTGAAAATGATTCGTTTACAATATTTTTAGGAGAGCCGTAACTCGTAATAGGGTACTCGTTTCAGAAAGAGGGGGGAAGTCAGTTGCACAAAAATTTTACATCGAAACGGATTGTACTCTGGATCCATCTTTCTTCTCTCCTCAATCCTCTGGAGGTGTGTGGAGTAAATGGGTGATCACGCGTCCACATCGTTTCTCAACTTAGAGAGCGACGAAATAAATTGTCACACAGAAAGACTCGCTCCAATGTTTACATTAGTTGACGTTTGTAGCACTGGGTTTCATTTATAATCCCTTGGTTTCATTTATCAGAATTTGGACGGAATAAAGTTACCCCACTCGTGCAGTGACTCGCATGGTGATCAATTCAGTTATTAACCCTTCGATCTGATTTGTTATTCTCCCTACTGACCGCCATGCATATCCTATTTTATTACACGAATCGGGCAGTCAAAGGGCCAATAACTAAAATCAACCAATCAAAATGCTCTATTGCCGGTCAATACTCTCTAAGTATTGGACCGGGCGCTGT